ATCACACGTAAGGGTTGAAATTAAAAAAAAATCACTTCCCACTTTACATATAGGGGGGCTACCCTAATAAAACATTTTTTTCCAATTTTTATTTTACCACTTTGTCGGCGTGATTGATACACATATTGGTACCAAATTTCAGCTTTCTAGTGCTAACGGTCACAGAGATTAAGCGAGGACGGACAGACGGACAGACAGACATGGCGAAACTATAAGGGTTCCTAGTTGACTACGGAACCCTAAAAAAAGGATCGGATGTTGTCGCCTCTCGTCTCTTTAATTTATATGCCATAACATGAATATGCAGGGCAATAATCTACAATTTTCTTTTCATTTTTAGAATGTTACATTACATGGTTTACTGTTGCAAACACTTAGTCTGTCACAGTAATATTCCCGATAAGGCGTCACTCCTATATTTAATGCGACCGAAACATGGCCTTTCATCCATCAAAAGGCTAGGATTGAACTCCGAACGTGGAGCTCGACAGAGACCGAATTATATATTTATTATAATTTATCAAATGTTCACAAGATACATTCAAGGGCTGGGCTGCATTTCTAAAACCGTTTTACAAAAAAACTTGTCCATTTCCTATAAGACTATACGTAAATTTAGAGTCCAAAAAGAACATCCACAGCTCATGTTTCACAGAATTTTTTTAATAGTCAATGGGAATCTAGTGTAGTTAACCCACCAGCTTCTTTTCGATCTGCGAAGGCTCGTATCTCTCTCGTGATTTACCTGATTTAGCTTATCAAGACAAGCTGACTATATCAACAGCGAAATATAACCACTTGCATTTTCTGAAAAAGTTCTGTAGGCCTGAAGTAAAACGTTTTTACAATGAACTGCGTCATGCTGCAAATATAAAAGAATCAGAAGATAACTAAACCAGTAATTTAGACAACTATCATTATTGACTGTGAATGCTGAGTGGACAGTGATCATTATAGTCCTGATTTTTGAAGACTTACTTAAGATTTTATTTAGTTTATAATACCAAAAGAATGATTATTTGCCAAAGTAATATAGGTATAAAACCTATCCCTTAACCAATATTAAAATTATTTTTTTTTTATCTTTAAATCTGAGTTATTTTTAACAGTTTATGAAATTAAAACCTAATTATTTCAAAACAAAGAAAAAAGGACATTTATCATTATTGCAGTGGACCCTTCATGTCTTCTTTAATTTATTTCTTGATAGCTTTTAAATACTACAAATTGAAAATGTTCCAACGAAGTTATTATTTTATTAGCATTTATAAACCTTTTTGGAAATCGTTATGTGGCCAATATTTGAAAGTCCTACTTGAAAGTAATACTGTTCAATCCCTCCACTCCATGTTACCTGAAAGACCGCTTTGAATACATTTTCTCCTCTCACGATCATCATTTACGTTCCACTAACAATTTTCGCTTCGTATTCTAGCACATTTATCCTCTTTCTTCAATAAATCATTTTCGGTTACAGGTGCACGCTTGTATATGCGCCTTTATATATTCGACATGCTCAGTCCCTTTTTTCCTTGAAAAATATACTCAAAACTTATTACTTGAAATCCATAATTTCCCATCATAATTCCTATCCTCAATTGTATCTATCCTAAATATCCTCAACCGTCATCTTGTGTGTTTTATATATGGAAAATGTCAATTATGTGGTTAGGGGAAAAATACTTTTGTAAACGGTTATTTTTCTCAAAAATCTATCTTTCCTGCGCATACTGTACCTTGTCGACTGGTTATCTAGTCCCTGGATTATGTGATGACGGAAAATCTTAATTTAAACCACACAGACGTTTCATCAGATGCACAGGGCAACAGTGGTTTCGTTTTCGAAATACTAATATGAAATGGAATATTATCTAGAGCTTTCAAAGTTTTTATGGCATTGGGTGACAAACAAGCACACAGTCCACCTAATGGTAAGTGGGCACTGTGGCCCATAGCTATACATGCACATTTATCCCCAACTGAGGATCAAAATGCAAATGTGTTGTCATCCCTGAGGACTATGGTATGCCTCGATTCCAGTAACAAGGGTATTCGGTTGTCTACACTCACCATACGAAACACAGCGGTATCACGCTGCTATTTTACGCTGGCATTCTGTGAGAGCGGTCCCCAGTCGAGCCAACCCATTCGCGCTACAACTATACTACTAATATAACTGCATTCTGCAGCATGGCTCTACCACGTAAAAAATGGTAAATGGCAAAGTCGACAGATCAGATCCAGCAGTAGATTTGAATAGGTTAAAGAAATAAGTATGTAAAGTCTATTTATTTTCTTAACAGACTAAAAAAGTAAAGTACTGTAATTTCTAATCTATATAATTTGTATTTATTTTTAATTTTTTAATAAAGTATATTTCCGCAGATTCCATTCTGATAATTTGGTTTCATCATATATAGCCTTCCTTTTTATACTTATTAATTTTAACAAGTTTTGTACTTAACATACTAAGGATTTAATATAAGTACAAAAATTGTTATGGTAGTTTTGACCAGTCTACGGAAAATTAGCGGGAGAAGTGTTTACGGGGCAGTAATTTAGGGTGAAAAACATCCGCACTCGCAGACGCACCTACATCATCCGCACACATTTACATAATTCTTCATAAATTTTCCGCAGGAGCAGCTCGGCGCAATAAGCTGAGCGACCTCCAGCGTCAGCTATCAGTATTGAGTAATATAGAGCTCTCCACTCCCACTTCCAATGGACTGCCTCTGCGTGAAGTGCTCAAGAACGAGATAGACGACATCGTCGCGAGCGAGTGCATATTCTGCGGCGAGTACATGATCGCATGTATTGACAAGCCATTCATAGCGGACGAGGATTGGGATCGAGTTATGAAGGAGTGGGAGTAGTTTACTGTATAATTCCATCATACATGGCCTGCTCATTTGAAAACACTTCTTTATTTTGGGCCTGACGGTCGTATTCCAGTTTTTATTGATATGTCATCGACCTAAGTATATTTACATTGATAATATATTTATAAAATCTGCAATATTTTTATCTTGTAAAATTACAGACATTTTTGTGTTAATATTGTTTCATACTACCGATTCTCTTCGGCTCCGCAGGGGTGATTTCTGGATCTCGACAATAGTTCCACCTACTGGACCCAATTTGTGATTCTAAGCCATCCAGGGACCTACTCAAACATGAAAAATTTCATCAGAATCGGTCGAGCCAGTTTAGTTTTAGCGAGATTAAGTGACAGCAATTGATTTTTATATATAGTAGATAATAATAATTGTAAAGTGATTACTTGCTATGGACAGCTAGCTTTATGTTTTAAATTAATAAATAGCAATAAACATCTGCTAAATCTTAGAATCTCTTCTCCCTCTATAGGGAATCTACGATTGTACATATACATATAAAGCCAATATACTTATGTCCCTTTTTTCAAATCGCTAACTACGCATAAATCTCGATTTTTGGTATCTATTTTTTGTTATATTTTATCGAAATTTCGCTTCACTTCCATAAAGTAGAAATATTTTATCAACAGGATATTTAATATAATTGTATGGTAATTCCTGAAAACATTGTATATCCTTGGATTGAATAATATCTTGTTAATACAGTATAGTGGTGACATAAGACAATCTACTACTGCTTAACATCCTGTGGGTGTCATTGTACAACTAAAAATAATAAAAATACTGCAGCTGTTGCGCCAGACAAGCGTGGCTGCTGTGGCAAATATACTCCTGTGAGGTAACTTATGTTCAGTAGTGGATTTTAAATAGGCTGTAATTAAAGAATGGGTAATGTCTTGAGGGAGTATAGAGAGAGAGGGAAATAGGTAACAGTACTCTTCCACCAATAAATTATTTATTAGTTGTAGTGGTGGAGCGTGAAAAGAGAAGGCAGACCGCGGTCACGCGATATTCCAATAATAACAGTGTATAAGAGGATTGTGAGGTGCAGATACGTGGCGCTAGTAGGTATTTTCAAAAATGCTATCTGTTTCATACCGCTCGCCCCGTATTGCCGTATAATGCGATAGAGTTGCAAGTTTTGGAAGTAATTGCCTATTTCAACTCCCCCCCCCCAAACCATTACGAAATGAAACCATCTTGGTCTCATTAGATTCATTACACCTTAATCTAGGTCTGTAGGTTTTTCTTTATTTAGTTTAAAAAAAAATTAAAATGCTCGCGAAAGTTTTTGAGTCAAAAGTATAGATATTTAGATGCTAATAATTTATAGCCTACGCAAAATTTATTTAAAATAAAAACGTACAGACCTAGTTTTTTTATTATACCTACATTTGCAAAAAAAATTATGAAAATTAGACTGGTTAGAGACATTTACTGGAGGTGAAAACATTATCGCTTTTTGTATGAAAATTTACAGCTTCACAATTCTCTTAAGACCAATGTTATAATAATCCTCATATTTTACCTTATATTCAAACAGCTCGCTATTTAGAACTACTGAATACTTGCATTTTAACTAAAGGATATTGGATAAAATGTTGTTTCGAGATTTCTTATCAAGGATTACTACTGATTTTCTTAAGCTATTGTTGGGAATATTACATAATTTATGTTATAAGCTATATGGACCTGTGATCTTATTTTAGAAAAAACTTATGTAAACAACTTGAATACATTTAAATTAAGCACCAAATATAGAATATCAACATGAAAATAAAGTTGTTTATTTATTAAAACACACTTTGTGAATAGATATAGTTTATTGAGAAATTTGCGTTATCAAGTTACTGATAAACAATAAATTATTAAATATTAGGATTTAAACAAGAGGCGACCATCTCAAATCCTAAGGACAGCATCCATTACACAAAGTAGATGTTAAAATTTAAATTTTACAAACAAACAATACATGTCAACACCTTGTTATTTAGACACAAAGAATTAACACGAAGGAGGAAAAAGGCAGAGATTTTAGGCCCCGTGCGACGCTTAGTAGCTGTGTATCTACAAGAATGAATTCACTAATGCAAACTACATTTATTGACTAGCAGCACTGTCTACTTCCATTGTCGGCGCCTCCGTGCTATCGCCTTTACCATCAATCTGCATAGCTTCTAATTTCTCATTTTTCTTTTGTTCAACTTTATCTTCTGTCCCTTGTTCTACCTTTGCATCTTTATTCTGTTCTTTTTCATCAATCTTTTGTTCAATCTTTTCTACTGGATTTATTTGGGACTTATCATCTTTCTGCTCAACATTTACTTCCTTAATACTATCATTATTTGCATCTTTCTTATCCTTACTCTTATCACGTTTCTTTACATTTTTCGTGCCCTTTTTAGGGCTTTTCTTTTCTTTTTCTACATTTTCGTTATGTTTTTCAACTGCTGTAACTTCTGGGGTCTGTTCTTTAACTTGTTGTTCTGGCCGCGTGTCTGCGACTTGTGTTTGATCAACTTCCTTGCTCTCGGCAGGCGGCGCAACTTCAACTTTTTCTTCTTGTGGCTTTTGTTCTTCAACTTGTTCCTCTTTAGACTTTTCAGCATTTTCTTGCTCCATTTCAGACTCTGTCGTAGTTTCTGTGTTACTAACATTTTTCGACTCTAATTCACCGTTTTCTGCGCTCTGCTCGTTAGTCGTAGGATTTTCCATTTCAACATCTTGAGCTTGAGAAGCCCTGCTGCCTTTCTCAGCTTTAGCTTCCAACACGGCTATGCATTTTTGAATACAACGAATAGCTTCTTTCCTTGCTTGTCTTATGTTTTCTTTGCCATCAGTTTCGATTGTGTCCAATTTTATTAGATTCCTGGTAAGCATTTCGTCTAGGTACAAGTATCTTTTGTCTTTCTTCGTACCAGTAAAGTTTTCAACTTCTGACATAAGGTTTAGAACATCAGTTTGGATGCTTAAGATTTGCGTTATTGGATCATTTATAGATGGCTGAGGTTTAGGTTGCGGTGGAGCTTCCTGCTGCGGTGGAGCTTGCTGTTGCGGTTGAGCTTTCTGTTGCGGGGAAGCTTTCTGTTGCTGGGGAGGCTGCTGAGGGGGCGTGGACTGTCGCTGAGGGGTAGGCTGGCGTGGAGGCTGCTTCTGCTGTGCTCTGGACGGAGTCTCAGCTCTCGGTGTATGCTCATGGTGGACTGGTACCTTCACGTAATGCTCCTCTGGGGGCATTTGTGGTTTAGGAGACTGTGATCTCTGTGGGGACGCACCGCGAGCGAACGCTGTTTGTGGATACACTTTTTGCTGTACAAACGGCTGTGGTCCCTGTCTAAATCCTTTATTAAATGGCGTACCGAAAGTCTTCGAGAAGTTGGGAGGATGATGGAAATTGACAGGGCCATCATCGGCAAAGTACTGATCTCTATCAATATGTGGCTGTGACGGAGGTACGTAGGTAGGCTTAGTGTCACCAAAGTGCGTACCATGGTCTACTGATTTATTAATTACAGGTTCATCTCTGCCTTCCACGAAAATAGGGATATGTCGTACATTGGAAGAGTGTTGTTCCGTTTGCGGATGGTGAGCTTGTTCCTGGTGATTCTGTCCACTCATTTTGTTTATATTACTGTGACCTGATGTGCGATGATCGGGGGGCGCTGACATAGACCGGTGATTTCGGTCGCCCTCATCAACCAAACCAGGGTGTGCGGGACTTTTCTGTCCAAGGTCTACTGTGTTTCTTAATCCGTACTGTGGTAAATGAGACTGTTGGTCGTCCTGGGATGGTCCTGGCGCCTGTTCAGTCTGTGTAGCTGTAGAATGCTGTTGTGGCGACTGTGGCTGCGGTGAAGGCGGCTGCTGCTGATGTGGTTCGTCTCGGGAACCGTACCGGCGGTTCCAATGTGACGGGAAATGCTCTCTGAACTCTGTTGGGATGTCGTCGAACGGGAATCTGTCGAAGCCGCTGAAGTTATCGTCAAAATCTGCAATAATTAAATGTTTTTTACACAACCTGTAAAAAGCAAACACTTCCGTGAATCTCTGACATATTGAAAAAGTCGATATTAACATATAAAAATATAAATTTAACATTATTTGTACCACCAGACAAACTAATGAAACTAAAATCGCATGGTGAAGGTAGTTGAGGTTGAAAATTTGCTTGCAGGTTGGTTGAAAAGTTTGCATTCCAGTCAATTGGCAATGTCACATCCCAAATTAGCTAGAGGTATCTTATTTATATATATTAGGAATCGATATCATTCACTTTACCATCTGACCACAAAAAAAGTAAAACAATAACAGGTTGGGCCTCTGTAAGACCTTACAGAGAGACTATGCTCAATGACCACTTTAAAAACATGAATCAGACAAAGAACACATTCATGTTATATCTATACTCAGCAAAATTCTATAATTGTAATTCCTTTTCATACAAGAGTCAACAAATATAATATTTAGGAAATTTTATTTAAATCCTTTCACTGTCCCGTACACTACATATTAGTCTTTGCTATTGCCTTACAATGTGTCTCAAAACCGTACAGTGAAAGTGTAGGTGCTTTATCATCACACGTTCCGATTGCAGGGTAGCTGGTGCCGGGTACCCAGCGGCGAAGTGCATATAAATTTTACGCCGTGTGAAAAATAACGTACGTGCCCATACTTTACCCGGCAACCGGGACGTATGAAGAGGCACTTAAGAAAGTTGATTTACTTTTTTATCATCAGCCCTTACAAGTCTACAGCTAAACATGCGCCTTTTCCATTATAAGCAGTATTTCCTAAATATATATTCTTGCTTGACAGATAAATTGACGATCGTCTCGAACCTTTGAAACTGCTTCCCATCTCAGTCTAAAGTGTAAATGAGATAGTGATAATCCATTCTAGCCCATAAAAGCCCACTGCTAAACAATCATCTGGGACGTTTAGACTTCTGGACGGTTAGGCCTTGCCGACAAATGACCTCACAGGGAGGATTTGGCCATAGTTGCCACGCTTGTCAGATGGGTTGGCAACCGCACTTCTTATTGTTTCGAGTTAAGAAATAGGCAGCATCATGAAGATGATGCTGCCTATTTCTTAATCAGTTTCCCTCTCTCGCCTCCTTTGGCACCCACGGGGCGATATGGGGTAGTAAATATGCTTACATACCACTAACTTTCAGCAGAACAATAAGATTTTAAGGCTTTTCTCATAGTCGCCTTCTAAGGCCCTAAAGGGAGGATATGGGATGACAAATTCTCTTAAGCCACCATACAATGGCAAGTTAAAAAAAAATAATTTTGCGGACTGTATCACGTTTAATTTTAATGTAATCGCGATGAAATCCGTAAAATTAGTTTTATTTAAGGTCGGGTAATCGTGTAAATATAAGAAACCACCATGGCAAGTTAGTGGTTACTAAAGCCGTGCTCACCGTCAGTCGCGTCCTGGCTGGAGGGGCGTCGCTTCCTGGCCCAGGTGGCGGGTCGCTGCCGCAGCCGCGCCGCTATGTCCGGGTGCCGCGCCGCAAGCTCGCTCCACGCGCCTGAACCCTCCTCCTCATCAAACGGAAAGCCGCGCTGTCGAACAAATATATTATTTAATAACACTTCTTTTTATGGAATAGATGTCAACCTTATCCTATACAAATAATAAAACCAGCACAGATTCCACCTAATGGTAAGTGGATGCTGTGGCCCATAATCATCTACACCTGTATTTACATAGGAATCAATTTTTTTTATATGATAAAGTAACAAACGAGCACACAGTCCACCTGATAGTAAGTAGTTATTGCGGCCCATAGACATCTACATCTATCTTCGATTACGAATCAAAATGCAGATGCGTTGTCACCCGTGAGGACTAAGATGGAATGCCTCGTTTCCAGTAAAAATGGTCACCGGTCTCTACACTCACCATACGAAACACAGCAGCGTTAAGCTACTATTTCACGCTGGTATTCTGTGAGAGCGTGGTCCTTCCCCGGTCGAGCCGACCCATTCGTGCTACAACTATACTACTAATATAACTGCAGCATGGCTCTACCACGCAAAAAAACCAGCACACATTCCACCTGTTGGTAAATGGATGAGGATGCTCATAGACATCTACATCTATGCTCATTTAAGAATCAAAATGCAGATGCATTGTCATTCTTGAAACTAAGGTAGAAGACTTGTTTTCCTTCGTAACAAAATACGAAACACGGCAGCATAAAGCTGCTGAGGGCGTGGTCCTTAAACAGCTGAGTCGAGCCATTCGTGCTACGACGATAACATAGCAACTCTTAAATATTTTGAGTTGGACAAACCAACAAGTAGATGTTTGTCGATTTTTTGATGAATTTATATGACACAAATACTTGCAAAATCAAGAAGAATTGTCACATGCTTTAACCAATCTGGCCTAACTCTGCCAGTTCTGCAGCAAGAAGTATTTTTCCAAACCACCAGCTTGTCCAAGACATACCTACAAGTTGGAATTCGACGTACTATATGATGTCTCGCCTTTTAGAGTAAAGACGAGCTATTTTTTTATACCTGGCAGAACATCTGTAAATTTCGAAAATTTGTCTTTTGAATAGTGGAAAATTCTTGGAAAAAGCCTTGAGTTGTTGAAGTCATTCGAAGAAATCACGAAGATAATAAGTTCAATTTGCTCGTCGTTATCTGAAGTGGATACCTAATGTGAAAACCTTACAGAGGTACCTGGAAATTTACTATGATGAAAACAACGAAATCATGCTAATAATTCTGTTGGAAAATGATTTAAGTATCAGGTTTGACTAAGCGCATAACAAACTCTTCACTCTGGCGACATTGTAGGATCCAAGATTTAAGCAACAGTTTTTCGATGCGAAGGAATTTATCATTGAGCAGTCACAATTTTTATTAGAATCTTTGAAAAATAAGAGTCCAAGAAAAATATTTTGAGTGATGACGAAAGTGACACTGACCAAGATGAACGTCTATACAGCACCGACGATGAAAATAATACGGAAACAGCAACACATCGGAATTTCTGGCAATGCCACCATGAACTAGTTCTACAGTAACTTTGTTCCTATAGATAAGGTTGTCATTTAAAAAATTTCAAAATGAATGATATTAATTAGCTTAGTACTAAATGTTTTGCAATCGTTTTGCAATAGGCAATCACTCCCTCAGCGTGTCGCACAGCGATATTTTTACATTTAGTTAATTATACTTAAAAAAAATATATTACTGTATAGGAAGCGTTGTGATCAAATTATTCGAAAAATGTGTATGCATACATGAAAGTGTAATGAGTGGAATTTGCAATTTAAATCGTTGTTTGTGATGCCTTTAAGATTTATAATTGCATGTACATAAAACGCGCGCGTCGTTTGGTGCTAGAGGCGTATTTGCGCCACGAAGACCTGACCATATGCGGCAAGGACGATCGTTAAATTACTTTTAAATAAATTTTAATATTTTAAGCACTACTTTTAGAATTATTTTTCAAAAAAAGTGACCCTGGAAATCTTGCAAATACGCATTCTTACGTTTTAAAATGAAGTGTTTCCACAAACACCCGAAACAGCAATTATTTAAAAAAGAAAAAGTATAGTTTGTCGTCATATTTGTTGTAAACTTAAAGTTGTAATATATCAACTAAACAGAGTCGAAAGCGAAAATTATACTATTCGAGTGTATAATCATTTAAATATAATCTAAAAATAAACAAAACAGAACTTGTACTCAATGATATCCCAGAAAAATATTGATGAACAATATTTCTATACACAATATTACACGAACAGTGTAGAGAGTACACAGCTTGTGTTACGTCTTTATGAACTGGACAAACATTGTGTAACAGTTTACTTTTTACGTAAACGGACTTAAAAATATGCCAATGAGCCGGATCTTGGTAAGTCACACTTTCTATTATTCTATAAAATTAACGTGGATTTGTTGACGTATATAATGCCAATTTAATGAAGGTACTGCCTCATTTTGTTGGCAACGCTCCTAATACGAAAATACGTGAAATTTTGCGTGAAACATTTACGTTTTGTTATTCTTTCATTTTAATGAATGATCTTTGGAAGAATTGATTTTATGTTATGTATGCGACATGGAATCGATTCAATTTGAATCCCTATTATGAATTATTGAATGCAATCAAGCTAAATTCCAATTTATCAAAATACATTCCAGTTATATCAGCTATGGAAAAGAACAAGGGTTATATAAGTAGAGGTCACCAATAGCAACACAACATTACACTGCAGGGCTTATGCTTCCTTTACAACCTTTTCAATTTTTGTATAGGTATTATATAACACTTAATAATGTAATATAATATGTATAGCAGTACCAGTGAATAAATAGTGCCATTTTGCGAGCTACTGCAGCAAGTTAAAATAAATCCATTTACATCACAAACAACAGATGGTTGAAGTTTTCTGATACCCGCCTATTGCATGCTCTATTTACGTTGAAATGCATACGGCTTGGCGATGTGGGGTACAGAAATGCCTTCATCTTAAACCAGCACCTGGTATTCGCATCTTATTTATTGTGTCACCCTGAACGGTTCTTAAATATGTATTTAATTGAAAAATATAAGAAATACCGGCTATATGCAGGACGAAAAAAATCACAAGTGCTTGAGATCGAAACATCGGTTAAAATCAAGAAAATAAGTCGTCGTCGTCCGTCAAGATACCGGTTTCAAATGCCACAAAAATTTGTGTGGGACAAGTTCACACACCTCTGCAAAAATAGACCGTATAATATTAAGTTTTATTTACAAGATCGCTCTCAACGAAACCGACCAAATAATCATCTTAAAATACAGTTAAAATTCAAAGAGGATTCAATAAATAGATATTTTGATAATTATTTAAACTAGATATATTTTTCTATTCTTTGACATCAAATGCATAAAATATTTGACAAATAGGTACATATAATTATCCACGGCTTATCTAAATACATGAGAGTAGATAAGACATGGGCGATACAGTTAATTATATTACTAGCTGGTACCCGGCGCGTTGCTGCCGAAAAGGAAATACCTAGGTAATTGTGGAAATATAGTTTTAAATTTTGAAGAGTTATGTTGTTTTATTAGAAATGAAAACACATTCATCGGCCCACCACGTAGGTACTGTAAGTTAATTGTACTATGCCTATAACTACAACCTTCGTGTAAGTGTAAGCAATAACTTGACAAAGACGCAATCTGATGAACGGTATGGCAGCGCATAAAATACGAACTAACAAATATTATTTTTTATATATTAGATGTTAAAGAAATGTAATGTAAACGAAATGAAATGAAATAAAAAAGAGCCTTACTATACGATAGATAGTTACTATATACTAGAGATAGTTACGTTGCATATTATTTAAAACAAACTAAGTATTCGTCGTACGGCATCAATTTGAAACAATTGCGAAAAGCAAGTCGGAAACAAATCGAAATACAACGGTCATTGGTTAATTAAAAACTTAACGATATGGCTCGTGTTAATTGGTCGGTAAACTTTAATAAGTGCCATGAATAAATCATTCGCCGATCCATCTGAACCAACTGAGCTTATTACCATTCACCAATCAGTACTGTCATAATAATACTATACTATTTATGCATTATCTGCTTCAGTAAATATTAATTTTAAAAACGTGTTCCATTCTTTAAATTCTGCCATTGCTGCCGCCGTGGTGACGCACACGGTACTCGTAGATAGATAATAAAAAATTAAAACTTTCTAAATATTTAAAAAAAACGAGTGTGCTTATGACCACACGACTGTATTAAAACTTCTTTAGTCCCATCATATATATATATACACACACAACCTGTATGTATGTACGTATATGTGTGTGAGTTTATATATACGCATATGTGTATATATATATATATATATATATATCTTTTCTCAATTTAGTATCGGCTTCCTTCCATAATTTGTTATTATTTACCCGAAAATTCACAAAACATGATGTTAAAAATGAATTTACAATTCAATTCAATTTCAAAGTAATGGTAAACTTAATTATTACAACCATCGTATACTGCGAAATACATATAAACATCAATACTGCTAATATCGAAAATTCTACATTTTGCGTCGTCACGTGATGCGACACGTGCAGTATTCACTATTATTGTTGCTTGTGCACAATTTCCGACAAATCACCTTTACACTTGTATATGATGACGCAAGGCTGTATATGATCTTTTTGTCCTCATCTCAGCCCACACCGCGGTGACATCATCGCAGTGATTTATAATCCGTGTGATTGTAGAGAATTAATTATATTTTATATATTTTGGCACCGATTTTACAAGTAAAGTCTTTTTAGGATTACGATTTTTGCAAAACAACGATTTTTTTCGATCGTTGTTGTAATCGAAACAAACGGAAAAATACGATCAAACAAACGTTACTTATTTGGTGACGAAGGAAGGGTTTCTCAAATTATTTTATATTTTATTTGCGTTGCTAAAATATAACCATATGAAGATGATTTACATTGATAAATTTATTACAAACAAATAAAATTAAAGTTTCTGTTTGTAATTTTCAAAGTAACAGCTT